TATATGACAACACCGAATTTGCTGCAGTTTGACCAAACAAAATTAGTTTGCTGTTGTTTGCGCTCTCTCCGAGTTTGCTGCAACAACAATTGCACGCAGTTTGCCAAACAAAATATCTGCATAACACCGACCTAACAGAAACTAGCAAGTAATATCATGTTCTGACCGACATCGAAAACGTGTTTTCGTTGCTAAAACTGGTTTTCGACTTAAAACTTGTGTTTTCGTCCATGTAAAATCTGTCAAACGAAAACCAGTTTTCGCTGAAAACTACTTGAAAACTCACGTTCCACTCATTCCATTCGGTGTCTTCACTTGTTTTTTTTTCGATTATTTATCGAAGTGGAAGTCATATTTTATCTTCTTAAATACGCCATTTAGGATTTATTGTTAATTGGCTGGCAAAAGTAAAATAAGCATGAAAGTAAAAGGTTGTTAATGAAAAGAAACTGAGGGAAAAGCATTTTGGTTTTGTTTTTGTGTAGCAAAACTGTAATCAGAGGATGTAAGAAATGTCAACGAAAACACTAACAGCCGGTGTGAACAGCCTTCAGCTCACAATCCCAAAACACGTTTTCAAGGTGTTTTCGTTGTCGGTCAGAACATGGTATTAGTGTTTTCGTTGACATTTCTTTCATCCTTTGTTTACAGTTTTGCTACAAAAAACAAAACAAAACTCTTTCTTTAATTTTCTTTTTGTTAGCAACCTTTATCTTTTATTTATATTTTAGTTTGGCCAGCCAATTAGCAATAAATCCTAACTAGCATATTAGAGATGATAAAGTATGACTTTCACTTAGATAAATATATCTAAAAAATGAGTGAAGACACCGATTGAAATGAGTGGAACGTGAGTTTTCAAGTAGTTTTCAGCGAAAACTAGTTTTCGTTTAACAGATTTTACATGGACGAAAATACAAGTTTTAGGTAGAAAACCAGTTTCAACAACGAAAACATGTTATCGATGGCAGTCCGAACATGGTATAAACAGCTGATCGGTGTATTTGACTATTGAAAATATTTGGCGCGAATTTTTGTTTAACCATTTTGACAGCAGGAGAGCCAAAAAAAATAAGAGCGTTAGAGCGCGAGAGAGCTGCTAGTTTCTGCTAGTTTTTGCTAGTTTTTTTCGGGTTAATTGATAATTTGTGATAATAATCTGTTAAGAAACAAAGCTACAGTATCCATAAGTGCGTTTCTGTAAGAAATCGACTGAATTATCGATCGATATATCGACTAAATTATACATCAAATCGACTGTTTCAATCGAAAAAATTTGCAAACAGCGTTGTTTAAGCGACTTATGAATTTCCCGCATAAACGCTCCCAGCTCAATGCACAGCAGCCTACGGCAGCTAGAGCATGACTCCTCAAATGGAGTCCCCCAATTGATACATGGTAAAATGGTCACATCTTGCGCCAGCGCTTCATCAGCCTGCCCGCATATCTCACTCTCTCTCTCTCTCGCATAGCAGGCATATGGTTGGCTTGATGTGCACCTATACACCATACGGACTCATCCGGGTACCCGCGGATGCCCAAAACAGCCCAGAAAGCGTTCCTCACGCTAGAAAAATGAGTAATAGGGAGCGAATACGTTCCACTTTTGCATTGTAAATGTCTTCTTCTTTCTGACGAAGCAGCCCGGAGCCTTTTTTCCGGGCACAAATGAGCGAAAGGGCAATTTGAAATAACAGCTGTTGTTGTATAAATCCGAAAGCAAATTTTATAAAAACAAAAGTGAAAAATATTACAGAATTTTCTGAAAATGTAGTTATGTGGTAATTTTATTAGCCATATAAGATAAATACACGTAAAATCATTGTTTAGAGATGATATGTTGATTCCGGGCACGAAATGTGGTTTTTGCGTTCCTCACGCTCTGAGCACTTTTGGCGCATGTTGGCACATTGTTTGACACTTGTGAGAGAGTAAATTATTTTTACGCTCTAATTACAGGAGCACCCCGGAAAGCGTGGGGAACGAAGCTAATAGTAAGCCACACATTGAAAAAAAAACGACTACGACAAGTGACTTTTAAATTGAATATTTTTTTATTACCCGAAAATTTGGATAAATAAAAGTCTAATAACATTATAACATAATATAACATTAAGGCCCTTATTATGAGTTGCATTCGCTTTTCGATCTTCGCTGGCTATCGAAGATCGGAAGTGAATTTCGTATTATATGAGCTATGCCAGCGTGTCGAAATTTTCGTTGAGTATCGAATTTTCTGTGGAACAGAATTTTGCTTTCGTTGGTGTAGCGAAGTGTTAGAAAATTGTGAAAAATGTATGATTTTGCATTTGTTTTTTTTTTTTTTACTTTTTGGCGGCTAGACACTAATTTTAAACATTTTTTTATTAATTTCAAGCAGTTCTAATGTCGTGAATAGTAGAGCTCAAAAGTCTGGTTTTACTTATGGAAGAAAATCCCAATACGCTGTCGGCACAATCTCTTAGAACAAAATCATGGAGCTGTTTATAGTTTTAATATATGTATTTTAAATAGATTTGGATCACAAAATTTCTTAAATATATTGTATGTCAAAATATATTCGAAAGACCGCACTTAAACTCTCTTAAACGTCTTCTACTCCTGGCCAGTTTTCTAGGCTATCATCCTCTGACGAATCGTTCAACCAGAACTCTATTGTACTAATTAAAATTTTTTTACCACTCGCTTTCTTTTTTATTTTATTTTAATTTGCACAAATTTACATATATATGTATGTACATATGTATAAGTACACTATTTAGTTTGCTCGATTTGTAAACAAAGCTTCGCAGCGGTGAAGAATATACTATTGTGAACAACCTAAACGAGCGAAATTCACAATAG